GCATTACGATACCATCTAGTGTTAGATCAATTGGTTGTTTTAGTTTCAATGGATGCAGTAGTTTGAGTAGTGTTACAATACCATCAAGTGTTAGATCAATTGCTGATGGTTGTTTCTGTGGATGCAAAAGTCTGGCTGGTATTACAATCCCATCAAGCGTAACATCAATTGGTGGTAGTTGTTTCAATAAATGCGGCAGTTTGAGCAGTGTTACAATACCATCAAGCGTGACATCAATCAATGGTAGTTGTTTTTATGAATGCAGTAATTTGAGTTATGTTAATATACCATCAAGTGTGAGATCAATTGGGAGTCAATGTTTCCGTTGGTGCGATAGTTTAAGAAATGTTACTATACCATTAAGTGTGACATCAGTTGGTGATAATTGTTTCCCATCAAACACTATAGTTCATCAAAGCAAATGAGATTATTTAATAATATTTCATTTTTTGTTTATTAAAAATTAATACAATTGAAAAAGTTGAATTAAATTTTAGTGAAATTGATTTTATCAATTTCTTCAATTGCGAGAAATAGGAGGTTTATAAAGCCAACCCTCCTCCCCCACTCACCTCCTGGGAACAGAGATTATTTAAATATATGATTGTGTAAAATGGTGAGTATATACCACGTCATTTAAAGATATTAATAAATAAGTTAATGTTAATCAATATCAATTATTGGCACATTCTTTTGCATTTAAAAGGGACCTACATTGACCACCACCACCTTTACCAAAATAAAATATTTGCCGCGAGTATTTTTTGAAGGAATCCACTTTTCAGCCACTGTTTGTGCGTCCCCATGTCGCCCACTTTCCTTGTCCGTACTGTGTGGACGCGGATGTGGTTCCCCCCGCTTGCGGGGGGGGGGGGTCAGGGGGGATCCGCGCCAAGGGAGGACTTGGAAAGTGGGTGAAACGGTGCACAAACAGACTGTTTGAGTGCGGCCTTCAGAGCCTTCTTTTCAATGCTCCGTCTCACTCGGTTTCCACTAACTCTAGGTGATTTTTCGGCATTTCTTGAATTCGGGAACTAGACCTAATATTATCCAAAACGCCCATTTACTATAATTATAATTATATAATTATAAAATATAGTAAATAAATTCTATATTTAGACGGAGTGGGGGTGGGAAAAATTTGCCCCGACAAACGCTATACTACAAGTTATTTTGTAATAAATGAATGATTATATAAAAAATAATCAAATACAAATTAATTTTTTAAAGAGCAGTAATATAAAATGAAAAAAAAATGAATTATATTTTTTTAAAAACCATTAATTTATAATAAAATTACTTCTAATTTAGTGTTTGTTTGTGATTATTGGAGGACAAGAAAATAATAGAAAGGACGTCTTTATACACAAGAGGACGCCCTTTATAGCGGGAGGACGTCCCTAAACCACAAAGAAAGTCCTTTGGCCTATTTTCCCGTCCTTCGTCTCCATGTCCGTCCTTTCTCTTTGTGTTGATATAAATGTATTACATATTTTTTAACCCATACTATTAATACAATTAATATAAAAAAAATAAAAATAATGTATTTATGATTCTGTTGTGGTTGATCACATGATACTCTTATAGTACATCGTCTTTTTGAACTCCAAATTTTTAATATTTTTTTTTCAAATGTAATAAATTCATTATTATCGATGTGTCAATGATTTTTTGATGTGTAAATCTGTAATATTTTAACTCATATTTTCATTCAAATATAAAAAAAAAATTTGTCTTTTTATATTTTAACAAAATTTGAATTTATTTGTAAAATATGACAAAAAATTTGTATTATTAATTATTATCATTAATTAATAATACAACGTGTGTGTCAAATAGTTGTAATGTGTTTGTTTGAAAAAAGGGGGATATTATTAATAATAGACTGTATATTCGATAAATTAAAATAAAAGTTAAAAACATAATATATTAATAATTAGTAAATTGTGTAAAATGATCATTATTACTATTTGGTAACAAGTACGCCTAATAAACGAGTACGGG